TCTCCAGAACTGCAGCTCTTGCGGAGTGTTCCTAGTCTGCAGAGGTCAGTATCTATCAAAAGTGCTCCAAGGAAAGAAAAGGGGTGGCCCTGGTGACAGGGTCATGGATCGGACCACATGGGCCAGCCATTGCTACCCATGTGCATGAAAACGTCTTGGCCGCTGAACAGACGAGCTACTGTAGATCATATTGCTAAAAAGGTTAATGCTGGTTCTGGATATAAACACGGTTTTCTGCATATGGGGCTACATAACATTATGACAACCAGGGCCCCAGCTGGTCATAATCTTATGGCTGATTGATGTATGTCTTAATACATGTCTGAAGGGAATCTTTAATATATAAAAGGTTACATGAGCTGTCCACCCATTCTTACATACACAATGATCAACACCATCCGCTATCCTGCAGTATGTACCATAAAAACTGAGAATCGCTGTCACTGGTAAATACTGTGCAGCTGTCAAATACTACAGTTAATAGTTATTAAGTTAAGATATTAAGTCTTTGCCACATGTTTTTGTCAAGTTAGATTCAACTACTATGTCACTGGATCAGAGCTTTATATATATATATTTATATATATATATATAGCTCTTTTTTTTATCTCACTGGCCAAGAGTGAGGCTGAAGTCAGTGTGATGTCATGTGTCAGTCATGTGGGAGGCCAGAGGTGATGTTGACTTCTAATTTGTTAAAGTGTATCAGTGCTTTAACACAACCTTCAAGGATAAGGCTGCTGCCAAACAGGAAGAGCCAATGATAAAGTGCAGTGTCTCCCGGCCTAATGCGAGGTCTTTGCAGAGTCCTGAGTAGGGTTATCTTTGATGTTAAAACAACTCCATTTCCCAGACACACCCTCCCCCCCCACCTATAGCCCATGGCTCTCTCCCTCTGCCTCATGTCTCTCCCTCCCTCCGATCTATCTCAATCACTGTCAGACATCGGCTAAGGAGAGATTCCCTTCAACAGCCAAATGCCAACTTCAAAACACTGACGTGTCACAGCATGTCTCCAGTTAGCCACCCAAAGACTAACTGGATAAGAACATATGGTATTTTGAAATAAAATAAGAGGGGGAATTAGTCAAGTATTACAGGTCTGACAATAGGTTCACCCCTACTGACTCTGTACATGTCTAAATTTAAAACTAGCAACTCCACTCTTCTCTGATGATTGGCTAAAAAAACAGGACAGCAAGCATCATATATTACTTTCATACTATAGCTCTAAATAGGTTTTCACAGAGCCACAATAGTCAAACATGTGCACACACAAACACACTACAGATGTATTAACACTGGTGAGCTCACCTGCAGTTTCTGTGTGACTCAGAATTGTAATGAGAAGGTCTGAATGACTGTGTGTTTGTGTGTGATTTATAGCTAAAACTCAGCCCTGTGCAGGTTCTACTACTTCTTCTGAAGCTGCCACCCAGCAGTCAGTTTCATTCTCACAGTCTAAATGCTCTTTTAAAGAAAGACCAACTGGGAAACACTGAACAGTAACAATTTTCTATTACTTACTAAGAATTTTGTGTAGCCTTTCATCCAGTGCAGGCTCACAGAGGGCTGAAGCCTCTCCTAGAACACATAAGGCGAGAGGCGGATACACCCTGGAGCTAGTGGATTTAGACCCACATTCTGGTTGTGAGGTCACAGTGCTAACCACTGAACCACCAAGCCAACCTTTATTTAAATCTACAGTAAGAGGGGTCTGGACTCATGCCAGTATCCAGTTTATCAAAACTGGCAGCAGGAGGGGCATGTTGTGTCACCTACAGTATAAAACTGCAGCATACCGCTGGATAACAAAGCCTTTAAATAGATTATAAAAAACCCACAGTGGGGCACTTCAGGTGAAGTCAATTTGCAGACACAAGCTAACAGAGACTCTACACATTCTGTGTAGACAGTGTTAGGGCGATCAGGTGTGTGAGGAAGAAGGGTTCAAACCCTGGCTCCTCTCTCACCTCTGCACAGCTTGCCAATTACAATGTGAAGTGGGTGAGAATGTTTGACTGTCCGACAAGCACTTCTGGTATAGTACACAGACAACTTTAGCCTAATTCAACATTTTTTTTTACCAAATTTAGCACCAGAAGTGCCACTCCAAAGAACCAGGGGAAGGGTTGCTGTGTTTTGAAACCGCAGTGGCAAACCTTGTGTAGCCAAGGGGTTTAAAGGACAGCTATGGGTTTAAGTTTTTAGGGGGAAAGCCTAAAATAGGTTGTGCATAGTTTTTACTGGAAAGATACAGTAGTTCTTGTGTTTTACCCTTCCTCTAGGCCTATATTACTTACTTTAGGGTTAAATACTTAGGCTGAGTTGATGCAAGCTGAAACCGACAACTTTTGCTGAACTGAAAACTAAATCTACTGATTTTGCTTTTATTTTCCGTGCTCTACTTTTACTCTACAGTTTACTTGCTTATAAAATTGTCTCCATTACTTTGAAATCATGGCTTTAACAAGTTATTTAAACTCATTTTAATTTAACAGGAATTGGATCAGGATCAAAGCAACTGTTCCAAATGAATTATTCTTGGATCCTGCTCAGCCTTAATTGCTACCATTGTAACATAACCAGCCTGGCCTTTACTGCTGCTTCAAAACAAACAGTAGCTTGTTGTAGCACAGGTTGCTCTGTCTCACCAAAGTGAACCACTGGTCTGAAAAGACAGAGTACCACACTTTACTGAACTGGAAGGGCAAAACATATCTATCTTATTCTTATTATTCTTATTATTATTATT